AGCTTTTTTAAGGAGAATGAGGACAGGGGAGGTGTCACAACAGCCACAGTGTGGGAGGCTCACAAAGCTTATATCCCAAAGGGAATTATTAATGGCGATTGGGCTAGAAAGAAAAAAGAAAGAAGGGAGAAAATGAATGAGCTCTTAGAAGAAATAGATAGTTATTGACCTAGAACAAATACATGCAAGAATAGAATAACAAAAAGAAATAGAGCTGAAGTTAAAAAAACAGAAGGAAGAACTGAAAGAAATGATAGAAGAGGAGAGGAGAAAAGTATATATAATAGAGTTCTAAGTGAGAGATATAGATGGGGAGAAAGACCTGGAAAGTATTCTGATGAGAGCCTGAGGAAAAAGAAAAATAGAAAATTGCGTTTATAGAAAAAAATAAAAGATGCTAAAGGGAAACATGAAACACTCAAATAAAGATATCACCAAAGCCTTCATAGAATATTACAGGAAACTGTACAATATAAGCCCCTCGGAAAGTTCAGAAACTATAGACAGTGAGAAAAACCAGAAAAGAAAGATATTATTTGGAAATGGCTAGGTTATGTAAAATTAAGCAAGGACCAACTAAACTCCCTAGACGCAGATATCTCACAGGAAGAAATAAAACTAGCATTAAAGGGGACAGTGTCGGGGAAAAGCCCCAGGCCAGATGGTTATACAGTGAGATACTATAAAAAATTCAGTGAAATCTTAGTACATAAAACTCAAAAACTACATGAATGCACTAGGTGGAGAGATGGAAGTAAGAAGAGAATCATTACAAGCACCAACTCGTGCTCATTCAGAAAGAGGGAAAAGGATCCCTCTCAGTGTTCTAGCTATAGACCTATTTCAACTAATGGAACACAGACACTAAGTTGTACGCAAAGGTCCTAGCAAAACAGATTGAAAGAGCTAATTGCCTGGATGGGTACATGAGGATCAGGTGGGCTTTGTTCCAGGGAGGGAAGGAAAAGATAAATGGGGTTACGATCATTGATGCTATATCCAAAAGAGTAAAAAGGGAAAAGAACCGGCCGAAGTAGTTTTTTAGGTTTGACTAGTCTATAGATGCTGAAAAAGCGTTTGATAGGGTAAATTGGAGATTCATGATGGATACTCTGGAAGCTTTGGGAATCGGGCTAGGATGAGAGAATGGATAGGAAAGCTGTACAGATACCCCCTCGGTGGTCATTGGGGTAAATGGGGAGAGGTCAGAAACCCATTGAGATGTCAAACGGAACAAGTGACAGGGATGCCCATTATCCCATTGCTGTATGGTTATATCTCTAGAAACTCTACTGCTATCAACAATAAGACTGAATAGAGACGTAAAGGGAATCCGAATAGGAAGATTGGCAACGGAAATAAAGTTGCTGCCTGCTCGCAGACGACTTGTTGTTCTATGTAGGGGGAAACCCCAGGATAACACTTCCAAACAGGAATGAAGTCAACTAAAGGAGTACGGAGAAACTATCAAATTTAAAGATAAATTCAACAAAAACGGAGATTTCTAAATATAAACATCTTAAAAAACGAAAAAGAAAGGATACAAAAAGAATTTCCCTTTAAATGGAAAGTTAGAGATATAAAATATCTAGGAGTAAAACTCACAGCCTCACATAAACATCTATATAAACTAAAACTGAAAAGGGGGGGGGGGGGGGGGGGTGTAAATGAGATTAGAGATGAATTAAAAAGATTGGAGGGAGGAACCCCGACATGGAATGGGCCGTATTAACTTCTGGTAAAAATGGTAATAGTACCAAAAATCATATATTAGATATCAATAATGATCCCAATTAAACTCCCAGAGACTTTCTTTAAAATAATTAAGAAATTGATAACAAGATACATATGGAGGAATAGGAAAAAAACCAAGACTGTCATACGAACTGCTAAGTAGGAGGAAAGAAAGAGGGGGTTTAGGGCTCCCAGACTTTAAAAGATATTACAAAGCGGTAATACTGGCAAGAACCATAGATTGGATATTTTAATATATAAAAAAGCTGGGTGAGAATAGAGAATGAACTCAGCGGAATAGACTTGGGAAGAATGATATGGGTACCAACACAGTATAGGGGTTTAAATGACAATGTAAATACATACACTTTGAATGTTTTAAGGATTTGGGATAACTTACACAGAAGTATGAAATGGACTTTTAATTCTACACTGATTCCACTAAAAAATACAGAGTTTTTACCCCCCAGGTAGAGAAGAAATAGGAGGGAAGTGGTTTAAAAAGATAAGGTGCAATTAGGAGATATCTTGGTGGGAGATGAAATAGGAGCATATGGCGAATTGAAAAAAAAAGAGGGAGAGATTTTCACTAAATTAGACGAATGGCGGGTATTTCCAATTGAGGTGTTTTGTCGGAAGTTTGCCAAGACCTTTAAGGACAAGAGACAATTGGAACTTGTTTGAAAAGACATTGGGAACACAAGGTGATGGGAAACACGGGATTGCTAGAAATTTATAAAATACTCACTGAACTAGACACAAACACGAAACCAACATATTTAACAAAATGGGAAATGGATATGGGAGTTGTGATAGATGAGGAAAAGCAGAGGAGAATGTATAGATTAACTCACGAAAACGTCTCTATGAGAGAAGTAGAAATGAACTATAAGTGTTTGACAAGATGGCACATTTCACCAGTAGTAGAAAATAAGATGTGTGGAGAGAGTACACCGCTGTGTTGGAGGGGATGTGGAGAAATAGGCACAATATACCATATATGGTGGGGATGCCCAAAAATCCAAGATATTCTGGACAACAATAATCCACTTAATAAGAAAATTGACAGAAATAGATATAAATCTAGATCCAGAAGTATGTATTTTGCACATCACGGATATAACGGTAAATAAATATAAAAAATCAGGGATATGGAACTATATAAATGCTGCAAAAGCCCTGATACCCAAAGTTCTGGAGGCAAATAGAGGCACCAAAGGAAGAGGACTGGATTGAAAGAGTTGAGCAGATTAAAAAGATGGAAAAGGCTGTGCCATACCCAAAAAGATAAGATGGAGGTTTATCATGGGAAATGGGAAGAACTGGGAAAAAGCCAGATTATATATGAGGAGTAGGAAAGAATAAAGATAACAACAGAAAAATTCCACTTGCTGATATAAGAAGACGTAGAGAAAAGATAGAATAGGCAGAGGGGGACATAGGGTGGGGGGTGGAGAAGGGGGGGGAAAAGGTTGCATAGAGTATATAAAGTAGAAATGTTGGTTAATATAATATTATAGAATATATTTTATATATATATATATATTTATATTGTGATGATGAAATGTAATTGAAATGGAAAATTAATAAATATTTGAATTATAAAAAAAAAAAGAAAAGAAGAATGAAAAGAAGAAGAAGAAGAATGAAAAGAAGAAGAAGAAGAATGAAAAGAAGAAGAAGAAGAGAAGAAGAAGAAAGAATGAAAAGAAGAAGAAGAATGAAAAGAAGAAGAATTCCAGTACAGCAAAAAGTGTATCTGCAGAGAGCTCCGCTATTTCTCACAGTTCTCTGACAGTTCTGACAGTTCATTTACAGCGGTTGAAACATTGTATCTATTTATTTCCGAATAAAAACATCTGTATCCTAAATGGAAACAAATAGATACAATGTTTCAACTGCTGTAAATGAACTGTCAGAACTGTCAGAGAACTGTCAGAAATAGCGGAGCTCTCTGCAGTGACACTTTTGCCGGCTGATCGGGGAAAATTCGATTTGTGCATCCGAAGTTTGCTAAAATTCGGATTCGATGCGAATCGAATTTTTCCTAATATTCTAAACGAATTCCACTTCGCCAAGTTCGATTCGCTCATCTCTAGTGGAAACCCATCATGGATAGGACGTATAAACCTAGTTAAAATGGTAATCATACCTAAAATACTGTATAGATTCCAAATGGTCCCAATTAAACTCCCAGAGGTGTTTTTTAAGATAATGAAAAAAATGTTAATAAGATATATCTGGAGGAACAAAAAATCAAGAATATCATATGAAATATTGAGTAGAACTAAAGAGAAAGGGGGAATGGGACTACCTGATGTCAAGAGATACTATAAAGCAGTAATTTTAGCAAGAATTTATGATTGGACATTCAACCACAAGGGGAAGAGTTGGGTAAAAATTGAAAACGAATTGAGTGGGATTAGTTTGAGTAAGATGATTATGGGTTCCAGCACATCTTAGAAGAGTTAGAGAAAGCACAAGTATTTACACTTTTAATGTTTTTTAAGGGTATGGGATAATTTACACAAAAGTAGGAAATGGGAATTCAATTCTATATTAATGCCCCTTGTAAATTCTGATTATTTCCCCCAGGAAAGGATGAGATATCTGGTAGATGGTTTAAAAGGGAAGATATCCAACTGAGAGATGTACTGGTAGAGGGGGAATTGAGACCATTTAAAGAATTAAAAGAGAAGAAGGGAGAAAGTTTTATTGGAATAGACGAGTGGAAATATCATCAGTTAAAATGCTTTATTGGAAAACTTACCAAAACCCCTGAGATTAAAAAAGGATTGGAATATGTTTGAAAGGTTGTTGGAAACACGTAGAGATGGGAAACACGGAATTGCCAAAGTTTATAGAATACTCACAGAATTAGACACAGACACAAAGTAAATTTTTATAACGAAATGGGAAAGAGATATGGAGGTGGTGTTAGACGAGGACCAACAGAACAAGATATATAGATTGATACACACGAGAATGTTAGTAAGAGAGACGTGGAGATTAACTATAAATGTTTGACACGATGGCATATCACACCGAGTATTGAGCACAACATGAGGGGGGAGAATTCTAAAATGTGTTGGAGAGGTTGTGGGGGGTGGGCACGGTGTTTCACATTTGGTGGCAATTAGAGATGAGCGAATTATTCAAAAATTCGATTCGGCGAATTCGCGGAATAAATTCGATTCGAGTCAAATATATTCGCTGCGAATTTAACTTATAAAAAGGGTGTTTCTAGGCTTCAGAGAGCCTTTATATATTAGTGCAGAACACTGTACCTTTAATTTAAATGCCCTTGGAGTCTGCTGGGGAAGAGAAATAATACTGTCAGTCAGTATGACATGCAGATGAGTGCCGTCGATCTTAGAATCACCGCACACTTCACTCATTTGGGCAGTCACGGGGCCAAAACCAGAGTGTGGAGCCACAGTGTGGCGGTGGAGGCAGCAGCAATGGAGGCCATACAGCACCTATGAAAAAATGGAACCCACCAGCAGTGTGAGGAGACCTGAAAGTGGCACATGGCAGAGTGTGGGCGATGGAGACAGCAGCAATGGGAGGCCGTACAGGGACCCATGACACACTCTGGACCTGGCAGCAGCATGAGGAGGCGGTACAGGGGCCCATGACAGATTACGGGCCTGGCAGCAGCATGAGGAGTCGGTAGGTCAAGGGCCCATGGCAGATTATGGGCCTGGCAGAAGCAATGGGAGGCCATACAGCACCCTATGACAAAATGGAACCCCACCAGCAGTGTGAGGAGACCTGAAAGTGGCACATGGCAGAGTGTGGCGATGGAGACAGCAGCAATGGGAGGCCGTACAGGGACCCATGACACACTCTGGACCTGGCAAGCAGCATGAGGAGGCGGGTACATGGGGCCCATGACAGATTACGGGCCTGGCAGCAGCATGAGGAGTCGGTACGGGGGCCCATGGCAGATTACGGGCCTGAGGCAGCAGCAATGGGAGGCCGTACAGGGACCCATGGACACACTCTGGACCTGGCAGCAGCATGAGGAGGCGGTACAGGGGCCCATGACAGATTACGGGCCTGGCAGCAGCATGAGGAGTCGGTACGGGGGCCCATGGCAGATTACGGGCCTGGCAGCAGCAATGGGAGGCGCCGTAATCTGACAGCACCCTATGACAAAATGGAACCCACCAGCAGTGTGAGGAGACCTGAAAGTGGCACATGGCAGAGGTGTGGCGATGGAGACAGCAGCAATGGGAGGCCGTACAGGGACCCATGACACACTCTGGACCTGGTAGCAGCATGAGGAGGCGAGAGGGGTACAGGGGCCCATGACAGATTACGGGCTGGCAGCAGCATGAGGAGTCGGTACGGGGGCCCATGGCAGATTACGGGCCTGGCAGCAGCAATGGGAGGCCCGTAATCTGCCAGCACCCTATGACAAAATGGAAACCCACCAGCAGTGTGAGGAGACCTGAAAGTGGCACATGGCAGAGTGTGGCGATGGAGACAGCAGCAATGGGCCGTACAGGGACCCATGACACACTCTACAGGGTACACCCATGACACACTCTAGATCGGGGCCTGGCAAAAATGGGAGCAGGGAACCCATGAGGATGCGGTACAGGGGCCCATGACAGATTACGGGCCTGGCGAGCAGCATGAGGAGTCGGTACGGGGGCCCATGGCAGATTACGGCCTGGCAGCAGCAATGGGGAGGCCGTATCTGCCAGCACCTCTATGACAAAATGGAACCAACACCAGCAGTGTGAGGAGACCTGAAAGTGGCACATGGCAGAGTGTGCGATGGAGACAGCAGCAATGGGAGGCCGTTACAGGGACCCATGACACACTCTCAGACCTGGCAGCAGCATGAGGAGGCGGTACAGGGGGGCCCATGGCAGATTACGGGGCCTGGCAGCAGCAATGAGGAGTCGGTACGGGGCTGCCATGGCAGATTACGGGCCTAGGCAGCACAAAATGGAGGCACACCAGCTGTGCAGCACCCTATGACAAAATGGAACCCATGGCAGAGTGTGGCTGGAGACAGCAGCAATGGGCACATGGTACAGAGACACACTCTGGACCTGGCAGCAGCATGAGGAGGAGGAAGGGTACAGGGGCCCATGACACTGATTACGGGCCTGGCAGCAGCATGAGGAGTCGGTACGGGGGCCCATGGGCAGATTACGGGCCTGGCAGCAGCAATGGGAGGCCGTATCTGCCAGCACCCTATGACAAAATGGAACCCACCAGCAGTTGTGAGGAGACCTGAAAAGTGGCACCATGGCAGAGTGTGGCGATGGAGACAGCAGCAATGGGAGGTCGTACACGGGGACCCATGAGACACTCTGGACCTGGCAGCAGCATGAGGAGGCGGTTGTAGGGGGCCCATGGACAGATTACGGGCCTGGCAGCAGCAATGGGAGGCCCGTAGATCAGGGAGCACCCTATGTTACATGACCCAACACACCAGCAGTGTGAGGGACCTGAAAGTGGCACATGGCAGAGTGTGGCGATGGAGACAGCAGCAATGGGAGGCCGTACAGGGGCCCATGACAGATTACTGGGCCTGGCAGCAGCATGAGGAGGCGTCGGTACAGGGGCCCCATGGCAGATTACGGGCCCTGGCAGCAGCAATGGAGGCCCGTTAATCTGCCTGCCAGCACCCTATGACAGAAAAATGGAACCCACCAGCAGTGTGAGGAGACCTGAAAGGTGGGCACATGGGCAGAGTGTGGCGATGGAGACAGCAGCAATGGGAGGCCGTACAGGGGACCCATGAGACACTCTGGACCTGGCAGCAGCGATGATCACACCAGCGGAGCGAGTACAGGGTATTTTACGTAGGGGCCTGACACATGGCACATGGCTCAATTAGGGGTTCGGTATTAGGGGGGCCATGGCAGATTACAGGGGCCTGGCAGCAGCAATGGGAGGCACCGTAATCTGCCAGCACCTATGACAAAAATTCAAACACACCAAGCGATAGTGTGAGCCCGAGACCTGAAAGTGGCACATGTTTAGGGGCATGATTCATGGGGCGGATTTAGTCAGTTGTGTCAGGAACTGGTGGTTTGAAATCCAGACTAATCCTCGCCTGATTCATTTTCACTAAAGTGAGTCTCTCTCACCACTTTGGGTGGACAGTAGTGTCCTCGCTGGAGTTACAATACCTCCTGCCGCACTAAAACACGCGCTCCGATGCCACGCTACTGGCCCGGGCAATGACAGCCCTTTCAAGGGCAAATTCAGCTAGTTGGGCCAAAGGTCAAGTTTCGTTGCCCAGTAGTCAAGGGGATTGTCTGACCTCGGGTTGGCAGGGTGCTGTTCCAAGTAGGCCCAAGGCTGTTGTTTGAGGTCCTGCTCCAGGTCCACCTGATGCTGCTGCTGCTGCTCGGCGGCTGGTTAGTAGTTTCCTCACTGCGCTGGTGAAGAAAGCTACTCATCATCGACTGCAGACTGAGGCAGCCGCTGCTGGTGGAGCTGCCACTGCTCCTACCCACCCCACCCTCTCCCCTGCTGCCATGGCCAGCGGAACGCGACGCGAGCTTTGGCCCCACAGGGCGCCCCACTGTGTCTGAGGATGGACGTTGGGCGCAGAGAAAGGCAGAGACCAACTGACTACATAGGTGGTTTTTTTTAATAGTACGTTATATTTTGGCCACCCTCTCAGCAGGTGTGAAAAAAGGCCACCATTTTTGATACGGTAGCGAGGGTCCAACAAGGTGGACAAGCAAAAAGTCATCCTCTGGTCTGTTGGTTATTATATTCGGCTGTCGTCTACGCAAGCAACCAGAGCATGCTATGGGCCATTTGTGCCAAGGAATGCGAGGGACTCCCTGCCTCCATCTCCACAGCATAATGCCACGGTGGTCTGGGTCCTCTGTCTCCTCCTCCTCCTCTACCAGATGTGTCCTGCTCCTCCATCCTGTCCGCTGAGTGGAAAAACCACCCATTTTCACTCAATCAATTCCTGAGCCTCAATGTCATCCTCTTACCTCCTCCTTTCTCCTGTCTGGCCCCAACAGGGTCAGTGTGGTTGTTGTGGATCTGTGCGCCTCGGATTCTCACCGCACCCTGACAGCCATTGTTAACAGACATGTGTGTCTAGGACGTATGCAATAAGGGGGAATGTAAGTCGTTCATCCCCATTGTCCTGGGGACTCACGAATAAGCTTTGCCTCCTCAAAGGGCCTGAGCAAGCGGCAGGAGTCTCGCATGAGTGCCAATGGCTGACAGCGCTAAGCTTTACACAGGGGAGTACCTTTTATCCGCTTGTGAAATCAGGAAATCGGTGATGGCCTTTCGACGTGTTCGTAAAGGCGGTCTAAACATATGTAGGGTTGAATTCCACCTTGTTGCAACGTCGCAGATCAGGCGATGCTGTGGAATTCATAGAGAGAGTATCTAGAGATATCATCAGTCTCAAGGAGCGGTGTGCTTTGCGTTGTAGGAATGGCTTATTAATGCATGCTGAAAGTCATTTTACGTGACAACCCCCCCAAAGGATGATCTTGCAGTGGGTGGATATGTGGATTTTAGGAACCGCTTGACAACCAGATTGAACACGTGAGCCATGATGGCGCATGGACAACCTTCCTTGAAGCCAGAGAGATCAGTTCTTTCCGTTGTCGGTCAACATCGGTTCGATTTTCAGTTTGCTACGGATGCGAGAGCATCTGTCGATTTCTCTGTTCATTTACATCAGAGTTTCCCCTGGTGACTACGTTCCGCCAAGGCATACAGGTGAGCACAGCGTGACACCGTTGCGACCTGCAATGTGATATCCCGGTCGGGTAATGGGATTGGGCAGGGGGGGGGGGCTGGGCACGGGAAAGAAGAGGGGGTAGAGGCGGAATTTTGCTGGACCAAGGCGTGCAACGGGAGGCAAAAGGGCGTGACCTGTCCAAGTTGCTGGTGCGGCTGTCCCCGGACCCGTTCCCCCAGGGGGCCGAAAAATGACAGTACTCCCCCTGACCGTAGTTACAGCTCCACCGTCGGCGCTGCCTGCACTTTGGAGAGACCGACATGCTCAAAGACTGGCCCCCACCATCTTTTTACTGTGAATGAGGGCTGGCATGCCCTTTTTGGTGAAAAATCCCGGCTTGGCACTCTCCCCGCGGCGCGGCACAAGTCATCATTTTCGAAAGGTGCTGAGTCACCACTTGGAAAGGGAGGGACTGAAAGCCCCAGAATTGGACAGAGGGCGTTTAGCTTTTGACCCTCGGGTGCGTGCTCGCAAACTGTTGTCTCTTGGAAAGGATTCCAAAAAAGGCTGCTGACGGAATCGTGAAGAGGGAAAAAAGGGGGGGGAAGGGCATCTGAACGAGCGGAAGATGCCAAAGAGCGACAATCCCCCCGCAGAGGTGTTGGGCCTTGTGGCTGATAAGGGCGTTGACGGGGGTGAAGAGCAAGTAACGGAGGGGGGGTGATGGAGGGGGGCTGGGGCAGGCAGAACCCCCGTATCTTTTCCGGTTTTCCCAGGGCCCCGAATGGCGACGTGATATGTGCCAACCTTTATCCCAAAATCCCCTCCCCCCTTACTTTCCCCCCCCGTGCCCCGGCCGTTACTTTTGGGCGGTTTACGAAATAATTCCCCCCCCCCCCCGCCGGTAGGAAAACTTTTCCCCGTATTCCTGGTGTGCTACTTCCCCCGTGCATCGGCACCACTACTGGCCGTGGGTGGTGGCTGCAGTGGAGTGGTGCTCTACTCCCGGGCCGTTTGCCCCCCACTGACATGCTGCGGACCCTGCTGCCTCCTGGGCAACCCCCCCGACTGTTTTGCTCGCTGCCAAGTGGCACCCTCTTCCCCGATGATGCGGGGAAAAAAATAGCCTGATGAGGAGGTGCCAAGTGG